TTTCGGTGGAGCTTAAGTCACTAAATGTGTTAATTTCCATGTGGGTCACGTGATTATGTTGTTTATTTATTGTTCAAGAAAAAGATCAACGAAGAGTAAAGTTATCGTTGGGTGCATGGTGAGTGGTGTGCAAAATTTCGCTCCCTAACTCACGTGAACAAGGACGCAGCTACAAAAAAAAAAAGTGGAAAGTTTCTATTGCCGCTGGGTAGGCGGTATGTAGGCGGTATGTATGTTTGTCATTGTTACTCAAATGTCCCCAGTAATAAAGTATAATTAGAATGTATTATTTGTATCATTTTCTTTCTACTATTTTCCTCCTCCACCCCACTCCACCCCTTCAGTCTCTGCTGTAGCCGCGTATTCAGAAGATGACTCCGACTCTTACAAAGACAAAGACAAGGGGAGCGACTCTTCCTCCTACTACTACGACTACGCCAGTAGCTCCGACGATGACATGAGCGGGGAGATGAACGACGACAACGGCGGCGGCAAGCACGACAACTCCTACGACCACTACGACTACGATTACAAGAACAACAAGTGGGGAGGAGATAATTCTTACTCACGCAAATCCTACTCACACGGCTCTGGGTGGAATGCGGCAGCTCAGGCCCAGCCGCTGGTTGTGTGTACCTATGGGGTGAGTCCAGAGACTTACTTTATTGTTCTACTTTATTACTTTTTACTTTTCCGGCAGAAGATATTCGGAAACGTCTCTGGTGAGCACCCAGGAACTATTCGGAGACGCACTCCCGCACACAGATGCACTGCTTTGGGGGGTCAAACTGCGTATTATTAGCTGCAGATCACACATATAGACACTAAAACTGTCGCAAATCATTTATTTTCAAAAAAATTTCAACCCTAATTGCAAAATTAATATCAAATTGTAGGTTAAAACAGGGGGGACATGCCTCTTAAACCCCTTTTTTTTTTTTACTTGGTCTAGAGGCACAAAGCATTTTGATTGGTCTACCTCCGTCGGAGACGTCTCCGGGTAGACACAGCGACTTTTCCCGGCTTCTGTTACCTTGTGATGTCGAGCGGAGAAGCAAAAGTCTTTCTCATGTTTGTTGTATCGCCTTTTTCATGGTTATATTGTTGTTCTCGACTAAAGTTTCTCTGACCTTCCTGCTCATTTCCTTTTAATACAATATTATAAAACATTCGTTCTGATTTCATAACGGCAATAATAACAATGATACTTTATATTTTTGTTGCGAATTTTCATAAGTAGGAGTAAAGTGCAAAATAATAATGCTATGACATGATACGGGGGACGTTGTTCCATTATTATCCCTTCACCCCCC